GAATTAGGCTGTTTTTCGGATTCGGCACGAATCGAAATTTTTCCGATATTCGACTCGAATTCCACTTCGGATACTTCGATTCGCTCATCTCTAATTATATTATTGAATTAAATGTATTATTATATTATTATTTTTATGATTATTTATTAAATTATAATTTATGATTTCATGTTTCACACTTTATCATCCCCGGGATGTTTGCTAGACTCTTGTTCGGACAGATTTCAGTGAGTTATTCCTAAAAATTACAGGACTACAATAAAAAAACTACATATTTCCATGCAAAAAAAAGTACCGCTTTGAGCACAGAAATACTGACATAATCAGGCCGCTAGGGAGGTTAAACTATGAAAATGCAAATAAAAAACAGATTTTTCATTTGAAAGCGAGTCATTATTACAGAGCGCTAGCCATGGCTCCATCACCTTTTGTGTGTCAGAAATAAATAATTTACTGTTACACCTTAATAAAAAAAGATTTGTTTTACCCTTAGGCGTGAAGGGGTTAACATGCTAAATATTATGAGAGTTTAGTGGCTGGCTTTACATCTATGTTAATCAAACAACAACAACAACAACAAAAAAAACATAAAGAACAAATCACACATAATATAGAGGAAAACAAAAATGAAGAATCAATGACAGCATGCCTGTTAAACATAATCACAAGGCTAAATCGGGAAAAATAAATTGCACTCATTTGCAGGACGGCAGAGGCGAGGTGGGATAGATACCTATGCATACATAGAGAGATGAGATGTCTGAATGCGGTGTGATTGAGTTATTACTGACCTCCAAGTTTGTTTTAGAAAATTATCACCAGAATATTCCATTAACCTCTGCTAACCTGTGCCCCTTATCAGGATGAATAGAAAGAGATAATGTTTTATAGGCTGTGAAATTATATACTAAAGGCATGCACAGGCTATGTGATCATTTAATAAAGGAAGCCACAGAGCTAAAATACCGGACGCCATATTGAACTTTGTGGGCGAGGGATATAATTGAATGTAACAGAATATTGTACATGTAAATGCCATAAATTATAGGAAGTATTAAGAATAAAGGTTTTCAGGGGGGGGGTGTCAAAAAAGGACAGATTGAATGATAAATAGATAAATAAGTATACTATAGATCAGCCTCTCAACCAGGGTGCCCAGGCACCCCTTGAGGTCTCTTCAGGGGTGCCTTGGAAAAATGTCTAAAAATTGCCTAAAACATGTATACAAGCCAGCGTGTGGAACAAGCCTACCTTTTAGTTACACAAAGCCACAGGTTTTCATTGGACACCATTACAACCTTCTATCCTGACAACCAATGACATCATCAGTTGATAAGGAGGATGTCAGTTGCCTGTACAGAATCCTAGTTTGACCCTCCCCTGCCCCTCTCCATCAGCGCTGGGGTCACATTAGCTCAGTGATGGATAAAAACTGAGGGAGAAAAGAAACAATGGAATACTAGTCAGTACCAGTGTGGAAAAGTGTATTTACATTGGAAGAATAAATCACCTCTAATGTTGGGTGTCCTACATGTGTGGATGTTGCTGCGTTATATAAAACTATTAGAATAGTTATTCACATTTTAGAATAGGGTGCCCTTTTATGATTATGGACAGTCCAGAGGCACCCTTTATAATAATTGACAGCCTTGAGGCACCCCATTCTAAAATGGGGTGCCTCAAGACTGTCCATAATTTTAAAGGGTGCCTCGGGACTGTCCATAATATTAAAGGGTGCCTCGGGACTGTCCATAATATTAAAGGGTGCCTCGGGACTGTCCATAATATTAAAGGGTGCCTCGGGACTGTCCATAATTTTAAAGGGTGCCTCGGGACTGTCCATAATTTTATAGGATGCCTCGGGACTGTCCATAATTTTAAAGGGTGCCTCAAGACTGTCCATAATTTTAAAGGGTGCCTCAAGACTGTCCATAATTATAAAGGGTGCCTCAAGACTGTCCATAATTTTAAAGGGTGCCTCGGGACTGTCCATAATTTAAAGGGTGCCTCGGGACTGTCCATAATTTAAAGGATGCCTCGGGACTGTCCATAATTTAAAAAGATGCCTCAAGACTGTCCATAATTTTAAAAGGTGCCTCAAGACTGTCCATAATTTTAAAGGGTGCCTCAAGACTGTCCATAATTTTAAAGGGTGCCTCAAGACTGTCCATAATTTTAAAGGGTGCCTCAGGGCTGTCCATAATTTTAAAGGGTGCCTCAAGACTGTCCATAATTTTAAAGGGTGCCTCAGGGCTGTCCATAATTTTAAAAGGTGCCTCAAGACTGTCCATAATTTTAAAGGGTGCCTCAAGACTGTCCATAATTTTAAAGGGTGCCTCAGGGCTGTCCATAATTTTAAAGGGTGCCTCAAGACTGTCCATAATTTTAAAAGGTGCCTCAAGACTGTCCATAATTTTAAAAGGTGCCTCAAGACTGTCCATAATTTTAAAGGGTGCCTCAAGACTGTCCATAATTTTAAAGGGTGCCTCAAGACTGTCCATAATTTTAAAAGGTGATTCGGGGACTGTCCATATATTTAAACGGTGCCTCGGGGCTGTACATAATTTTAAAGGGTGCCTCGATTTAAAAAAGGTTGAGAAACACTGTTGTAGATAGATACTAGGAAGGAATGAGAGAAAGGTATAACACCAGAAACACAAGGCGGTATTGTGTTTGTACCCGGAGTACAGCCCAGAAACAATAATGCGCATTTTGTTTTTGTGGTTTTTTTTTTTTTTTTACCTAAAACACACTGACACTGACACCAATTTTTTTGTACCCTGACCTTTTGACCCTGACATTGACCCAAACACTTACTCTGGCAGGATACTAGATCAAATCTTCATCTAGGTATTTTTTCTTTATTTTTTTCTTTTATTTTTTAATATTTATTTATTTTTAACAAACATTTTTTCCCTCTATGCCAGGAGTAAGAGAGATACAATGTATCCCTCTTCTCCATTCATAGAGAAAAAAAAAAAAAACAAGGGGCCGGGTTGTACAGTGATTAATCACTGTGATAGCCAATCACAGGGTATCACAGTGATCATGTGACATGGAATCAGGACGCCCGGGTCCCAATTGTTAGAACGGGACCCGGTGCTCTCAGTGACACCGCGGTCTTTGTGCTGGGAGCATGCCATGCGGCGCCCTCCCAGCAGAAAGACAGGTACGCAAATATGCGGCCCCGCGGACAAAGGTCCAGTTCTGCGAGGCCGCATATTTGTATTACGTCGGAGTCAAGGGGTTAAAGTGCTGGTAAAGTCCTTCAAATATCACATTTTGGGAAGAGGTGATTGATATCGCAAAAAGAAAATGTCCTCCACCAACACCATACACAGCCTCTTACCAGAAGGCAAGACCACAAAACATGCGGTCTTACACAGCGTTTGGAATCAATCACATGGAGGAGCAGGACCAGAAAGCTTTGCCACCTGGAGGCACCTCCACAGCTCGCAGCACAAAGGTTGTACTTCAAAGTAGTCGTCTTGCAAACATGAGAATGAGAATATGGAAGCATGGGCTGCTTTACCAAAAGATAACTCTTCAGGCAGCAATGCAAGGTTAAACTTCGCTAAACCAACTCACGATGTATAAGGTGCATTTAAAAGAGAAACAAAAGCTCCTCATGGCATAGTATTACAGCAAAGCAGTGTTTATGGGTTTGCTTATTGTTTCCAACCAACAAAATGGTCATGGTACGTGGTGTGATGGCGTGATGATGTCAGGGGACGTAGCTCCAACCTACGCGTTTCATCACAATTGGCGTTGCATGGCATTACCTACCATAAGGGTCTACATGTTCAGCTACACTACGTGAACAAAACTTTGTCAACACCTGACCACCACATTTATGTGTGCTTGTTGGACGTCCTATCCCCATGGCCAAGTAACATGGAGTTGCTACCCCAATCCCAATACTTTGCTCCCCTAACAGTCTTCACTCTTCTGGGAAGGCTTTTCACAATATTTTGAAGTGCGGTTGTGGGAATTTGTGCCTATTTTGCCAAAAGAGCACCTATGAGCTCAGGCACTGATGGTGAAGGAGATAGACCTTATTCGGGGTTAACATTTAAGTTCATCCCAAAGGTTTTCAGTAGGGATGAGGTCAGGACTCTATGCGAGCAACTTGAGTTCCTCAACACCAAACTGGCAGTGCCGATACAATGTCATCCAGTGCCCAGGACAAAGATGCCAAACTGCACCCAACCCGTTCATGATGTGCAAGCTTAGGGTATCCAACGCCCAGCAGTCACTTGCTTGTCAATATCTTTGCTACTGCCACTACTCCCATCAGCCTTGTAACAGTAGGAAGGCACCCCCATCCTTACAATAACCATTCCGCCCAGGGCAGCTGCCCCTTCTGCCCAATGCTTGTCCCGGCCCTGAAAACTGGTTATTCCATGTCTTTATGCAGCTGGTTTTGTACACAGGGGCACAGTTATACTGGAACAGAAAAGGGACTTCTCCAAATTGTTACCACAAGGTTAGAAGAGCACAATTGTCTACAATGTCTGTGTATGATGTAGTATTAACAGTAACCTTTACACCTAAAAACAATAATTTGATGGGGTGTCCACCACCACCACCAGTTCTGGCAAGGTACTAGTGATGTGATGGTCAAACGTTTTGCCATGTAGTGTATATTAGTTGGGTGCCTTTTATGGCTTTGGAAAGACTCAAGCCAAAAGGTAGAGCTGAAAGACTGAAGACTCTTTCAACTAGATACTTTGTAACTAACTCATCATATATATCTTATTACAGCCTCCTTTGCTGTAGGTCAACTAACAATGCTCCTAATATGTACTTAGTCATTTTCTAAGCACTCAGGGTGCCTCTCGATCCCACAAACATGGTATACATATCTCTATTCCAAATTAGTGATAAGTACAGCCTCTTTGCTGCAAAGTAAGGATGAGCTTGTGTTTGTTCTGAACTGGGTTTGGGTCTGAACCTGGAATTCAGATGTCATAGCTTGTCTAATGAGCTACAGGCAAAGGATTCCTTGCTCCGCAGCTGAAATGCACAATAGGTTTGGGATGCTTGGGATGTCATTGAACTAATATGACCATAAGGCCACCCCAATGATGTCACCAGGACTCCATCCCTTTGTGTGTGTTAAGGAATCCCCAACCCACAGCTTATTAGTTGAGGAATGACAGCTGACTCCCAGGTTAGGGCCCAACCCCTGTTCAGAACAAACAGGCTCATTGACAAAAACATCGTATGAAGGGTCCTGCTAGCTATACAGTAAGATCCATGCATACAAGAACGTGAACTGGTACATGCATAGGAATGTGTACACAGTAGCGCGCATAGACATGTCCACCACAGATACTGGTGCCTAGTGTGCTATTTAGACCTGGATCCTGTATCAAATCATTGCTGAGTGGTCTTTAAGTTTGAGTTCCTGTTATCCCTGATCCTGAACCTGCTTGACTGTGACCTGCTTATAAATAATCCTTGCCTATGTTTGGTGTCTACCTTTGTTACCAACCTCAGCCTGGACTCCTGACCAAGATTTTGCCCATTGATTTTGCCTATAGATTGCCTCATAGGCAGCTCGTTGCCAACCTCTGCTTCTCCCTGACCTTGATCTTGTTTATGACTTAGTGTCTTCCTGCTTGACTGTTACAGAACTCTCAATATGGCCTGGCTCTGATCTCTATTGGAGTTGGTGTATTCTGAGTGCTCTAAGCCCTATGTTTCTGCTTATACCAGTGCTCCCAAGTTCAAGTCTTCAGTTCCTGCTTTCTGGCACCGGCACCCTTCCATTGCCCTTTTAGCCCCTGTCCCAACTTTTAGAGAGACTTGGGTGGGAATTGTCTGAGAGGGCAGACCCGTCATCTCAAGATCCTCAAACAGGTACGTGACACTAGTTCCTACTGCTAGGCTCCACCAATGCAATACAACATTCCAACAATTTTGACTTTTGGCAGCTTAAGCTGGGCCTAGCTCAGAAAGGTTGAAGAACATAACTTAGGCGGGGCAGGACATAATTTGAAAGATAAGACCTCTGTACCTGGGAAGGAGAGATCATACAGAAATTAATTTAAAGTGTATCTAAAAGAAAACTTTTTGCCAGTTTTGGATGCAGTTGGGAAGAATCAGAACATAAATCTATAATGCTACCTCTTTACAAAACTGGTTCATCCACATATTGGGCATGCCATCCAGTTCTGGTCACCAGTCCTCAAGAAGGATGTGCTGGAACTGGAGAGAGTACAGATAAGGGCAACGAAAATAATAAAGGGACTGGAGGACCTAAGTTATGAGGAAAGGCTACGCAAATTAGTTTTATTCTCCCTGGAGAAGAGACACTTAAGAGGAGATATACAGTGTAGTTATCTAAATGGTGATCCTAGCATAGAGAGAACACTATGGAGTCTCAGGTCACTCTAGATGACACAGGGTCACTCAAGATGAAGTTGGACGAGAAGTGGTTTACCCTTAAACTGCATAGGTGGTTCTTTACTATTAGTACAGTAAGGATGTGGAACTCCCTTCTACAATCGATGGTGTCATCGGGAAGTGTCGATAATTTAAAAAACTTTTAGATGGACTGCAACGGAAACCGGAACCCGACCACTCTTGGGTATGTTCCGTTATACCGCAGCTTCCCCTGTCCCGACACCATCCACGGACCACACCCTTAAAATCCCTCAGGAAATAGACAGCACCCAGCTCTTCTTAAAACAGCAAGCCAACTCTTTATTTTAACACAAAACATGGGATATATACAGAGGGCGGGGAAACACAACCAGGAACAGGAAACACATCATCAGCCCGCCCCATCAGTGGGAAGGGCTGCAGGGAATACATCATCAGCCAGCCCCATCAATGGGAAGAGCTACAGGGAACCACCCCAACCAACCCAAGACACAGAACAATGGGATGAAGCACATGGCAAACAAACAATGGACAGCCATGTGGCCGAGAACAATGGAATAGCCACATGGCAGTATACAATGGGCAACCACATGGCTGAGGACAAAAAAACACACACTATACACAAGACTGGGACATTCACACCCTGTACCCCTTAATAGGCACAGGGTCACTTAAACATAATGGGGAGAACATGAGCTGACACAGAGGTCCCCCCATCCCCAAAAGTCACTCCCATCACATGGACATCTTAGCTATTACAATATACAGGGATATGGGAAGTGGTGGAGACATACTGTAACTGCATACACGCCCACACACAAGTTGAACTGGATGGACTGATGTCTTTATTCAACCTTACTAACTATGTAACATCTGTCAGGTTTTTATCATTAAAAGGTTTGGTTGGGCATGGCGCTGGATCTGAGGAACTTCTTAGGTCTCGATGATATGGAGAACTCTAAGTGTAGCATACTAAGACTGGCCATACAGGGGTCAAATTTCAGCATGTCTTCTGAATCAACCAAAATTCAAGCCCTAGATAGCCATGCTGGCATCACCTGGCTCATCAAACTCCTACTGAAAAATTAAAGGAGCCTAATAGAAAATTGTTGACCAG